TTACAGTCGGACCCGAGAAGGCACCGTACGACAGGCCTACTGGCTATGCCCTTGTGCACGTAAGTACCGCTGCACCTTTTGCCTCGTCAGCTACTACATTGCAGCTGTTCAGCTCCTTTGTAACATGCCACGCTGTCAGCCTGACATCCCTGGCTTGGCATATACGACTTTCCTTATCTCGTACCACGCGCACACGTCCTCCTGTTCCGTTTATTCGCAGGGCACTGTCAACATCAGCGGTGTCACCTTGGCGGACTTCTCGGGCCCTACCAGCTGCGGTGGCGTGGGCAGCTACGCACTGGCGAACCATCCGGAAGCAGCAGATGCTTTCCATCCTCATTTCTTCTCCAGTATGAACGTTGTCAACGTCACATCGGGGTAGGTCGGGGGCCATGTCGGCGCTTTATGTTTATCACGACTATGCCACGACTACCTAAGGTTCCTGCTGCAAGACCACAGCAACTGCTGCTCTTGCGAGATTGCAGCAACCTCAATGCCATACCGGCATTTGTAATCCGATCCCCTTATCCCACTCTGCAGTTCGTCGTCGCAAGGCATGTTCCTGCATACGCCGCCGAACCTGGCCTGGCGGAATGAGAGCCGCTGTGGTGTTGCCAACTACACGCTACCCGACAACAGCACCATTCCGCTCAACTGTGGGGGCCCGGCGCACGTCCACTGGCGCGACCTGGACGGATCACTGGTCTCTGATGGCAATGCCACTGCCGCGAGCACCATTGCTGGTGTCTTCCCTCAGGGTCCCCGTGCATTCCCCATGGACCAGGGCACCCCCTTGCTGCCTGGCCCATGCGCCTACTCGTCTGTCTACCACTCGTACAGCTGCTCAGCCGGTGCCTTTGACCTGGAGCACTTTGTGCTTGAGAGCCGGGACAACGACACTGAAACGCGCAACTTCGGGCCCGTCCTTTTCAACGTGTCTGGCTCTGTTGATGTGGTCCCGGCGTCCATGAACTACGGGCCTTGCGCCAACAGCACTTGCCGGAAGCGGCTGTCCACATTCTTCACGTACCTTCCGACCGGCCAGACCGTCTACGTGAACTTCACCGGCACGCCACCTCGCAGCCTTCGCTTGTGGCTGCCTTATGCCGACGCTGACAAAGAGCTGGTGGTTGTCCTCAACTACCCAACAGCGCGCAACCGGAAGCTTGTGTACCTGGCCCCCGGTAACGGCGCAGTCTCAGGTGGCTTGACGGCTGAGTCCCAGGCTGTTGCAATTGGCGACGGCAAGGGCCACGGGGCTTACTACTGGGACCAGAGCAGCTCGCAGCTGTACGTGAAGGTCAAGGGGGGCAAGTCGCTGGAAGTTCGGACCGAGAATGCAGTGCTGGTGAGTGGGAAGCCATGCGTGACGGTACTGTGGAAAGGGAGGTGCTAAATGGGCTGGGACAGGCCTGCCAGGGGTTTAAGAATACCGGAGTCGGGTATCAGACCAGTCCTGCTGGTATCGCGAGGTCTCCGCTTACCCTCTGTCCTGCGCTCCTGCTCATGCATGCAGGTTTCCCAAACTTTCGCACTCACGGTGGACGAGTTCTATGCGGCATCTGCTGCGTTCATGACCAACCTGGCTAACGCAACGGGCATTGACGCAAGGCGGATGTACATTCTTAAGGTTGTCCCCGGATCAGCTGTGGTTACCATCAGCATTGCCTCGGCCCCAGCCAGCTTGCCAAAGCTGTCTGAGCTGTCGCTCTCGGCTGTTGTCGACCCCACGGACCCTGTGGACCCAGCGTCTGCTGTCCTCGTGTCGCCTTCTCGTCGCCTGCTCGACACCACTTCCTCGCCCAGCAGCGAGTTGGCGGACCTGGTGAATGCAGTGGAGGCGTTCAAGGCTGCCGTGGCGGACCCCGCGGCTGCCACCAAGCTGGGAGTCACCCCAGTGGGATCCCCCATTGTGGATGTAGGCAGCCTGACCAGCCTCGACCCCACCCTTGCCCAGGCTGTGTCGCAGTCCTTGTCCAACGCCGGTCTTACCGTCGTGGACTCTACCCAGCCAACTTCTGAATCCAAGTCCACTGACAGCCCACCGCCACCGCCTGCCTCGACAGCCACACCACCACCACCGCCGCCTACAAGTAGCGCTCAGCCGGCCGTTCCCAGTGGTGGAGCTCCTGACGACGGTGGCTCGGGCGGCTCTCAGCCGCTGCCCTCACCCTCACCCTCGCCCTCGCCCTCACCTAAGCGGTCGTCTTCAGGAGGAGGTCTAATAAATGTCCCCGGTGCTGTTGCTGGTGTGGTAATTGCCTGCGTGGTTGCAGCGGTCATAGTTGCAGCTGCTGTGGTCGTTATCAACCGCCGTGCAGCCAAGCGACCTCGGCCTGAGTCTCCACGCGACGAGCAGCGTGCATCTCCTAACACCGCTGTGCTGCCGCTTGCCAGCCGTGCAAGTGCCAGTGGCAGTGTGCGCGAGGCCTTCGTGGTCAGCAGCCCTACCAGCGTTACCAACCCTACAAGCCCTGCCGGCTGGGAGCGCCCAGAGCGCAGGCCGCGGACTAGCTGCCCTGGCCCTACCATGGAGGCCGAGGGTGAACAACGTCAGCACAGTGGTGTCCCTGACACTCCGCGTTCCAGCGTGCTGGCTGCAGGCCTCCATCCGTCGAACCCGGCTGAGGTCATTCACCCGCTTGTCTCAGTCAGCAAGCAGCCGCACAATGCACCGCTTATGCCGTCGTTACCCCCACTGGGAGCAGTGGTTGGTGAGAGCTTCAACCAACGGACAAAGGCGCCGGCTGATCTCAACGACGGTTTGTCACGGAATTCAGTGCCTAACCGCTCACCCAGGGACCTGGCTTCAGCAATGGGCAACACGTCTCAGGCTAGGCGCATGAGCTATACGCCTGGCAATGAATCCGAGGCCGCCGCTTTGGGCGCCATTCTTGCTACCGCCAACCAACAGCAAGGCGCTGACGGCAGTGGCAGCCGCCCCGGCAGTGCACGGCCCACATTGCGTGAGTCGGAGCAGGAGGGAACTGATGGCGAGGAGACTACTGTGACGCCTGTGCAGCACAACATCATGACCCAGGAGTCGTTCTATCCCCGCAAGCCTCGTCCTGGCAGCGGCAACCCCGTGCACACCGCTGGCGCCGAGACAGTCGCAGCTGATGCCGACCAGGCAGGTGCAGAACATGCGCCGGCGCCCGGATCACCGCCGAAGCCAGGTGCAGCACCCCGCCCCACCATGATGCTGCCTGGCGGCATGCTCTCGTTCGATGCAACGCCATCGCTCCTGCGCAGTGAGGTTGCCGCCTTGATCCTGGCGGCTGGCGGTGCTGCAGAGGGGACATCGGACAACGGCCAGGGGGCAGAGGCTAGCGCACCAGCGGCGCGCACTCCAGCAGATCTGCACAGTGATAGCATGCGGAAGCGTGAGGATGCGTAGGTCGACGAAAGGTTTCTGCATGACCGTTAGGTACTGCCGTAGTCACTGTAACCTTCGTGCAGCGCGTCCTGCAGTAGATTCTTACGTCGTAGGTTTCATGCTGCAATCCAAGAATTATCCAGTGACAGTTTGTTAATTGTGGACTTAAATCAGGGGATTAGCTCATTCATGGTGCTAGTAAGAATTGCGGACAGGGCGGATACATGTGACGCGTATATGCAACGCGTTCTTTATTGCGGCAGAAGTGTCCTAACTGTCACGTTCTTCTGTGTTTTATCGGGCACTGTGCGTGTTTCGCCCGTGCGTTTTAGGCGGGCATGTGAGTAGACGCCTCGTCCTGAGCCCCTTCTTGACTCAAGCATATACGCTATAATGGTCTTGTCCATCCATGTTACACCAAAGGCGCTGCCATCATGAGTATTGCTGTCTGTTCGTCTCCCCTTGTCATTTATTGCAGTCCTGTTTGACACCAGTACCGTCTCGTAACAGTGATTAATGTGCCACGCGTTCAATATATGGAATGCGTAAACTGTGTGAGTTTGCATGTTAGATATAAACTGCGTGAGTTCTGTGTTATCGTACTTGAGATGGCAACCTTGCCCTGCCTGGACTCAACAGGCAACAAAATTCCTGGCGGTATTTACAGTTCCAGACATATTGGAACTTGTCACATGTGCGGGTGCTATTAACTGTTAACATTTTTAGCATGCGGGGTACAGCGTGGTATGCTACACCAACGGCTACACATTGCATGAAAGTTTTTCAGACTGTGCAGAACTGGTGTTTCAACGAACTGGTAGGTCTGGTTGAAGTCCAGACATGACGAGGTTTAGGCTGTATGGTTGCTTGAACCCACGAACTGCCGCTGGCCCGGCCCCGGCACGTCAATGTGAGGCAGGTGTAAAGATTTGGGTTCCCTATGCTTTCCTGAGCTGCAAACAAGGTTAGCAATGGACATGGTATTGTTTCAGCGGTGCTAAGGACTGCAGCAGCCATGCATAACTCTTTGCGTTTGCGCATTGGCACTCCCCACCCCCGCTGGGTGCCGATATAGCAGGCGGGGAAGACCATGTCTACACGAAGGTGACCGCAACCACCCCTAGTTCGTGAAGGTATTACGGTACAAATTTTCAAGTGCTTCGACATGAAGTCTTGCCTCAGCCGCTAGGTGGCATCCACAATTTATATTGCGCCCGGCGATGCAGGGAGCAAGGCCTTGAAGGCTACATAGTCCTTTCAGGGCAATGGCAATGGCGGGGGTTCATCAACATATGCTGAAACATAGTCCTTTAGGTAGACGACCGAAATCGAGAGATGAAAAGTGGATCGGGAAGATTGTGGTCGTAGCAGCGTCTGTCGCAGAGCTGAGAGTTACCCGTATTGCATGGTGCCGCTGGGCTGCTTAACGTTTTTTGTAATGCGCTGCTAAGTATCAGTAGACAACGTCTGTTTATGACACCTTCGAAGTTGTCAACAAAGAAAGCATCATGATGGCCTATTACGCGATTTGCATAATCCGCTCCAACTACCGGATCCTGCAAGTACCGCACGCCGTGCGTGCCTGCAACGACGACGAGGTGTGTAAGGCAAAACTAAAGGAATTGCTAGCCTCCTTGAAAATTTTACACAGCAAGACGTTAGATTTATCCCTACTGCTAAAATGCGTCCAGTTGTCTGAGACCATGCTCGCTTTACTTGCCGTAATTCTTTCTTGCCTGCTCCATATTGGGCAGGCCGAACAAGGTGATGTCACAATCAGTAAGGTATACCCAACTTCAGGGACCCTGGCAGGCGGAACCAGGTTAGTCGACTTCGTCTGAGCTGCGGTCGCCTTCCGAGCAGTAGTTTCCTTTACAACTTTGCTGACAGTATCCATTTTTCCTCAGGATAACAATTTATGGCAGCGGCTTCGGTGACATGTATACATCTAGCCCTGTCGTGTTCGTCGGATCCTTTCAATGCGACATAATCATGCATTTGAGCAGCAGCGAGTTGGTAAGCCTTGGGTTTTTTTCCTGAAGTAGCAATACGGGAGCAAGCTTTGACACCGCCGATGCCGTTCCCTGCTCAGCTCACGTGCGAAACAACTCCTGGTGCTGCCGGCACGTACTTCGTCACGGTCTCCTTGGGTGAAGATAACTTTGCCACAATATGGGGTTTCACGTACAGCGGCGACATCACGCCAAGTGAGTTCTGTCTACAGGAGCCGCACGGGTGTTGGGTGAAGCCCATTATGGCCATCCTTGCAACTATTGGGGTATCCTTTCCCCGCCTCCTCTGCATGTTCTTTCTTGGGTCTCGTTTGGGTAGCATGATTGTCCAGTACAATTTGACTGTATGTATGTATGTATGTGTTACAAGCTTCGTACCGAGCTCGTAAGATCCGTCCGAGCCAGAAGGCTCATGGATCGCGAGCACAAAACGCGAAAACAACCAAAAGAAGAAAAGTAAAACAAAAGAGACAACAAACAGAACGCTAATCATATGATAAACCCTGTCTGCGCAATCCTGCGACTTCGCATGCTAGTGATTACGCTAGCAAGCAATGCCTGATTCTCCATGCCCATGACAGCAATCATATCAGCATCCCGTGAGACACCACTTTCCCATATCTTATCACGCAAATCATCGTAAGCGGGACATTCAATGAGGATGTGTTTCTCATCTTCCACTCTCCCCGGCGACCCCTGCACGGCACACATAGGACAGACACGCGCTACTCGTTGCCTACCCCTAGGGCGATTGGCTTCAATGCCCCACACACACAGCCGAAAACGCATCAGGTTCACATGCTGCCGCTGAGTAATGTACCCCCTGTCAAACGGGTCACCCATCCAATTTTTGTACCTGCACATCTTAACTCCAACCCCTGGTACGGGGTCTACTGGGTTGAAAAGCCGCGGGTCATCTTCCAAACTCCTATCCTCCCAATCCGCATCCATTCTATCAGCAAACTTTTTAGTGAGAGCAGACACATTTAGCTCCGTGCCAGCAATACGTTCCACACGCGCATTCAAGTCCAACTCACCCCCCAAGGCCGTCAAATCCGTCCCTAACATTTTCAGAATCTTCAACACCTTAGAACCCCAGCCATTATAATGCTCAGTACTGAGAGCCGAACGAATTTCACCTCGCAACGCCTGGTGGTAGACCGTGTCCTTCTGCTTGACCAGGTCATTCCAAAACCTCAGAAACAGTTCCAGCCAGAAGACATGCAAGGGGCGCTGGTTAAACTCCTTAAACAGCAACTTATCAGGCGAGACTTTCACACCCGCAATCTCCCGAAGAAATTCCCTTTGTAACTGCACCATTGGGTCCCGCAAGGATCTGTCAAAGTACCTCGCGGAATTCTCGCAGTCCGTCATTAGCTTCAGCACCACATCAGGCCCCCACACCTGGACACCGTACGACAAGATGGAGCGGACTTGCACGTCGAAGCACTTAACTGCAACAGCAGGGACCAAAAGACCTAGGCGTTTTAATTTACGCTGAAGAGAAAACATAGCACGTCGGCCAGAGGTCAACAGTTCCTCTGTGCAGGAAACAAACGGTGTGCCAGGACCAAAGTGCAAACCAAGGTAACGGGCTCGTTGTACCCAGGGAATAACCATAGGTACTCGCGCATTTCCCTCAATAGAAGTCCACACCACGGGGCAAAGGGCAGCAAAAGCCTCGCGGATATTGGCACGAGGGTGGAAAACCATCAATTCACATTTACGGACATTCACCCGCATCCCAAAGGCCTCACACCACTCTCTCAAATCAGCAAGCAACACAATCAGCCGTCTGTGCGTCGTAGCGAAAAGGCTGAGGTCGTCGGCATACAGTTCCAACGGGATACGCCGGCCATCCGCATGGGGAGTCTGCTGCTTAGCGCGCATAGCATCAGGGAGCCACTTATCCTTAGCGTCAACATAGTCAGCAAACCCCTCGCCAAAAATCCCGTAAAGCGTAGGGCTGAGAGGGCATCCTTGCTTGACTCCCTGCGAAGATTCAAAAGGATCCCCCGTCACTCCGTCTACCCTGACACGCATCATGACCTTGTTGTAACAAGTCTTGAGAGCCTCCAGCATAGCGCCATGCACACCCCGTTCCTCCAACCTTAACCACAAGAGATCACGTGGCACCTTGTCAAACGCTTTCTCAAAGTCAATCTGACAAACGAACAGGGGGTCAACTGCATCTCGCCCCCCCTTATGTTTGTCCGTCAGATGTCGCAACAAAAACAGGTTGTGGCAGGTACCCCGCTTGCGTCGGAAACCTCCCTGATACGGCGACCTAGCTCCCACCAGCTCGCCCCAACGAGACAGCCTGTGCTCCAACATAAACGCATAAAGCTTAGACAAAACACCACCCACTGCTAAACCCCTATAGTTACCCTTCTCCATCACATCGCCTTTTTTGTGGATGGGCGTGAGCGCAGAGACCTCAAACTGCACAGGATAATCCCCCGTGCTGCGGATATGCTCTAGTAGCTTGAGCAGGTAAGGGGCTAAAACAAACATCCTTCTACCCTCAACCTCTCTCGTCGCACACTTGAAACATTCAGCCGGTACTCTGTCCAAACCCCCAGACTTGTTATTACGCAAAGACTTCAGCGCAGCAATGACTTCCGCCAAGGTGAACGGAACATTGAGCGCAGCAGCAGCGGTGACTCGTGCTACCCGATCGCCTGTCGCCCTTACCCATCCTCTTCCCCTCCCATGTGGCACACCGTTGATGGTACTAAGGATGGTGTCCGCGGAAACTTCGTTAAACGCATTGACTTCCCCATTAAACAGCGCATTAAAATAGGCTCCCCAACTGTTGACATCCGTGATAGGGCACCCCTGACTAAATCTGCCATTCAGCCGACCCCACAGCGCCCGTGGATCCCCCCGACATTCTTCGATAACTCCTTCAAAATGCATGACCCGGAACTTGTCCTTAGCCTCCCTGCGTAGACGTTGATACTTCGTGCGCAACCGACTGAACTCAGCTCTGGCATCCTGATCCCCCAGCAGACCGTTAGCACGCATGAGCGCCTTTTGAGCAAACATGGCCTCACGGGCTTCCGCACACTCAGGTGTCCACCAAGGCGCATCCTTGTCCGTCCTGCCTGCACTAGGAATGGACCCTTGCCTCCTCTCAAGACGAAACGTGGCGTCAATAGCCTTCTTAAGAGCCCGACAGATCACTGTAACAACCTCCGTACTGTTAAGACCATGGCCCAGTTGGCTAACAGCCTCGTCAATCTTCTGTACGACAGCAGCATCTTCTACCTCAAATAGGCGCGTGTACCGCTCCCACTCACGTTTCCCCAGGCGAGAGGAACCCGTGTTGCCACCCCTTCGCGTTCCTCCTAATCCAACGTCCAGAGTGAGTGACACCGGGCAGTGATCGCTGAGCCTCGATCCCACTTTAGGCCCCTCTATAGCAATGGGGATGCCAAGCACTTGCAAATGCGACGCCCGCGAGAACAAAGCAGGCGTGCAGACAAAAAGATCAATCATACTGCAGGCAAGGCCGTGGGCGTGGTAGAACGTGAACTCACCCTCCATGTCACCGGGCACACGACCATTCATGATAATCAGTTCAGTTTCGCGGCACAGCTCGACCAAACCTTGCCCAAATGGGTTGCTGGATGGGTCCTTACTGCGCCTGCTCGGCATGCCTTGAATGAGCCCATTACCTCCGATCGACACACCTGCCGCCGCCTCCAGTTCAGCATCAGCCTGGAGATCTGGTATATCACTCAAGCTGGCTACTCGCGCATTGAGGTCCCCCAAAATGAGGATTTCATCGCATGGACGCACATATCTTCGCAACAAGGCACGGAGTCGACCAAAAACACGATCCACGGTGTCAGTACGCCTTCTACCCGCATGGTCATTGTACTGAACAGAACCTTGGGGTGCTGCATAACAGGCTGCTATCAGCAAACTACGCCCCCCCATATTAAGAGCATGCCCTTTCACCCTTAACCAGATACTCTCCATGCCCTTAGGAACCTTAGACACACCAAGGAGCTGCACATCCCTAGCTAACATACGATTTACCCAGACAGCTACCCCACCTCTGTTGGGCGTGCCATCTACTGTGAACAGGAGCGTACCCGACGGTAGCATCTCCTTCACTACCGTATCTCCCACTAAATGCGTTTCCGTAATCACCACAATGTCATAACTACCCGCTATACCCCGTAACTCATTGTTATCAAGTTTCCAGTCCTTAAGCCCGCGAATATTCCATTGTACTACTTTCAACGCACCAGCCCTCTGGCTCGGACTCCTCTAGGTGTCCTCCATGGTGTCCGCTCCTGCCGGGGCCCCGTAGGGCCCGGTGTAGGGCACCAATCTCCCATCTGCTCCCACTATCTTGATCTCCGCTCCGCGGTCCCAGCGGGGCTGTTTGCCCTCGGCCTTGAGGCGCGCGTACGTGGACTGGCGTCTCGTCTTCGCGTCCACCCCGGCCTTGGTCAGGCAGTCCTGGACGTTGATGCCGTAGCGCTCCCGGAGTGGCTTGCCCAGTGCCGCCGCGACCGTCTTGCGTGCGTCCTCGTGCACCAGCAGGTCTACCCGCGTCATGGGTGCCTGCTGCCGGCCACCCTGCGCCGGGGCTGCGGCAGCCGCGGCATCTGCTGCGGCGCCTCTCGCTCCCAGCTTCGGCGGCACGGTGATGAGCTGCACTCCGATGACATCGTGCGGGCGTACCTCCTTGAGGATGCTGGGAACAATGGTGTGCAGTTCCGACACGTGCTGTGGCGGCACACGCAGGATCAGCTTGCGGGGCTGCACGTACTGCTTGGTGCTGCTTGCTTCCACCGCCTCCAGCCTCCCCTCCAGGGTATCCATTCGCGACTGCACCTTGGCCAGACCAGTGCACATCTCATCATGCCTAGTCTCGATCTTCTCAAGCCGCTTGTCCAGCCGGTTCTCTAAGTTTTGAATCGCCGCCATGAGATCAGAGAGGCTCGGCTGCGGGTTGCTGCCCGCAGGCCCCGATCCATTGCGGCTGCCGGACATTCCAGCCGCCGCCGCTTCTATCGCGTCTCTGGCTTCTTTAGCTCTTTCAACTAGTTGTGGAAGTGTTATTGTCTTAAAACGTGCTGTTTTGGGTGCACTAGAGCTAGGCGTCCCTGAAGCGTGTCGCTTTCTTAGATGCATGCCTCATCTCTAACATTTAACTGATTCATGCAATAATACAATTTGACTTCGACTTGTCAATGTCATACCTCGCACCCTCCAACACGGTATAAGCTGACTTTCAACTGAACTGTGGATATCTGCGTGCACATGAGACATTTCCCATCCCATTCTTACTTATGCAGCTCTGAAGGCGATCAGCCCGCGTGCTGGACCACCCGGTACAGTTGTGTATATGTACGGCGACAACACTTGGTACTTGCAGTACCGTGACTGTGTCGAATCAACATGGGGAGATCTGAGCTGCATCGGCAGTATCTTGTTCGGCGACTATCTTTGCAGCCAGGACCCCACTGATGCGAACACGGGAATTACATTCAACTCTGCGGACTACAATGGACGGTATGGGTCCAATGTCTACCGCGTGGGATGCTCCTTGCCATCTCCAGACGTCAGCAATTCGCAGGTGTGATGGGGCAAGGGTGTCGTTTCCTTTCACTACTGTCATTCGCATTGCCGCAAGTACCGGTAGGTACTGCCTACTGAGGAAATGGCTTATTCTGGTCATCTACACGAGCAGTGTCAGGCCCTGTGACGTTTCCTAGAAGACATCGCTGTTCGGTAGTGGTATTGAGAGTATAGGGGATAAAACGTAGGCCACCCCTCAGTGCCCTTGCTTCCTAATCCACGCCTGGGCTTTGTCTGGCGTCTGCAATAATGTTAATAATCGTCTCTACGAGCATGCCTTATTCACCCTGTGCTTGCAGCCCGCTGTCGGCACTGCTGGAAGCGTCAACGCCTCAGTTCACTTTGAGGCGTCCCTGCTTGGCGGCTCGCCACTTACTCTTCGCTCGTCGTACCAGTACGATGTTAACGGCCAGCCATACCACTTCCAGCTGTATCCGGAGGTAGCCGACATCTCCCCCGCTGTCGGCTCCAACGCTGGTGGCACTCTAATTATGATTACCGGCCGCGGTTTCCCCACGTCTGCTCTTGGCCTTGGCGACACGGTCAATGTCGCCATTGCGGGCGTGCCCTGTGCGGTTGTCAACAGCACGTATAGTACGATCTATTGTGTTACGGGACCCAAGCCCTCCACGCCGCCATCCTCCGCAACACCCATTGGCGGCCTGTACCCAGCCATGCGTGGTGTGGATTACGAGTTCTATAATGTTACGAACAATACTGCTATTTATTTCAGCACCTTAACGCGGCTTAACAAGACCATCTTCATCAACAACACGGCTGGGACGGGCTCCTACAAGACGGTGCTGACGGGCGCGATGGAGGGCCCTGACTACGTCAAGTCGTACTACTGCAGCCGCATAAAGGCCTTCTTTACGGCGCCGCGTAACGGGAGCTACAGGTGCGCTTTGGAAAGGGAATGTCGTTGACCTGTTATCGTAGCGAACATGCGTTTAGTCTTCAGTGTGCTGGCATTCTGCGGCTGGAGAATTCTCTCCCTTATGAGCCTCTTTCTAGACTTCCTAATCTCTACACCGGTCCCGCATTCGCGCAGGTTCTATCTGCAGGCGGACGACTATGCCCAGTTGAACGGCACCTGGCGCCAGGTGGGTAGAGGGTCAATCTTAAGGGTCAATCTTCTTGGTCTTGGTTTTGCCGGGCCCTAGAATACCGGTAGCACTAAGTTGCCCAGTAAATGCTGCTTCAGCCTTACCTTCCCATCTGAGAAATTGCCCCCTCCACTGCCATCGGGCTGATTACGGGATGCATAGTCCATCGCTTGTTACTTGGGACGCTGTTGTTAGCCTGGTTTGCCGATACCAATATTGCGTCCATTAATACTGGTACCGGTACCATTTCCCCTTCCATTGTATGGATTATCTACCGTGCAGAGCAACGGCATCGAGGTGACCCAGATGCTTGTCAACCTGACGAGCTGGACGCCCGCGGACTCCTGGTCTACATACTCATCCCAGGCCTCTGCGCCAGTTGCTTTGAGCGCCAATCAGAGCATCCTGTTGGAGTCCAACCACTGCAACGGTCAATCTGTAGGCCACCAGCAGGTTGCCGTGCGGATGCCGGTCGAGCAGCCTCAAAGCAACTCTATTCCCGAGGTCCAGAGCGTGTCCGTGAAGGCCAGCTTTGCACCTCACCAGGTGCTCGTTAAGTTCATGTACGGCGCCGGCGCCAACACCACCGCCTACACGGTCACCGCAACTGCTGATGACGACTCAAAGCTAGACAACTCTGCTGTGGGGCTGCAGCTTACGTTCAATGGCGGGTCGCCAACCGTCGTGTTGCCGGTCACCGTGACGGGTGCAGCAATGACCAGCCTTATCGAGGTTGGGTTCGGGGGCAAGGGCTCTCTGGGCAGCAGCACTGGCCTCTTTGGTGTACGGAAGGTCCGCTTGCAGGGCAGCGTGATGCTGGAGATCGGCATGAGCTCAAGCCTGGCCGACTCGATGGGCTTTGAAGTAACGGCAGCACGTGTTGTCACCATCTACACCACCAGCGCCTTCACCCCTTCCGCGTGCAACGATAACACGTCGCTGGTATATGCGCCGCCTCCACCACCTCCGGCTTCTGTAGATGTCACCGCCGGCGTCTCTGTCGTTGTCGCCTCCGCTCGGCCTGTCCCAGCCGCTATTCCGGGTGGTTCCTTCACGCTGAGCCTGCCATCAAGCTCGTCTCCTATTGCCCTGTCGTACAATGCCAACACGACTCAAGTATATCAGGCCGTAAAAAACCTGACTGGTCTCGACACGACGGTTACGTACAACAGCGCCATCCGTGAGGGTGCCTACTTTGCCCGCGTCTGGACGGTCTCATTTGCTATTTCGGCTCTGGACAACGTCCCAACCCTGGTTGCCGTCCCCGGTGATGACGCTCCCTCGGGTGTTGCACTCGCCACTGAGGAGCGCCTCGCCAATCCTGCGCTCTCCGGCTACTTCTCCCTATCGTACGGCAGTGAATGCAAGTCTGTCAAGATCTACTTGTCGGATCCTTCAGCGAAGATCATCACCAAGCTGGGCAGCCTGCCGGGCATGAGCGCCCCTCAGAGCGTGGAGATCTCCGGCAGCTCGACATCTGGGTACACTTACAAGATCACGTATGATCCTGTGGGTAATCCTGGGGATCAGCCACCGCTGCGGGTAGCGGACATCAGTGGGCTGGGCGGCGTTCTGCCTACCGTCACCGTCACCACAACTACCAACGGCTCCACCGACGCCTTCTACGGCCCCATCCCCACTGAGTTCCTTAAGCTCGCGGTGGCTACCCCCGGAACGATCGACTTGGCAGTCAATGGCGCCCCGGCAGCGTGTCTGCACCCCTCTGGCGCGTGCAAGTTTGACTACTCTTCTGCCGCCACGCCACTGATGACATCTGTAGCACCCACGAACCTTTCCTTCGTCTCTGAGTCGAGCATTCCGCTGACAATTACGGGGAGCGGCTTCGATGGTGGTTCCAGCGTTGAGGTTTTGGTTGGTAATACTACATGCAACGTCACCTCGGCTTCTGCGACCCAAATCATCTGCACCGTCCCCGACACGGCTCCTGCTGGAATCCGTCTGGTCACTGTTAATGTTGGAGGCCTTGGCTTTGCTCAGGGCGCCACCAATGTAACCATTGAGACGTTGTACGTGACAGGATCTGCGCCTGCCCTACTGTCAGTTTCCGGATCTGGTTCATCCGTATTCAAGCTGATGGGCAAGGGCTTTGACCATGTCAACTGCGCCAACAACAAGGTGCTGGTTGACGACGTGCAGTGCGGTGTCGTGGCCTGCGGCGCTAACTACGTAACTGTCATCTACCCCGGCAACGGTGGAAGCGACGTGGCAGCAGCAGATGTCACTGCTCAGGTTTTTGAGCGCAACGGTCTTATCGATCAGGACGTCCCCGATGCCGTCAAGGTTCAGGTCTCTGGATCTGCGCCCGTCATTACCGGTATTACAAGCGCCACGACCATGCCGGGCTCGGGAGGCCCAGTCTCAGTGAGCCTTGACGGCGCGACAGCCAGCGATGTGGCGTCTATGTACCTGGTGCCGTACATCTCGTCCCGCACAAACTACACCGCGTTGTCAACCTCCTTTTCCCGTCGCATCTTATGCGGTGGCGTGGCCGCAGCAGCTGGCGGCGTGGGCTGCAACAGCACGTACACTCCCAACGGTCGTTACCACGTGCTGGTCGTCCTAAACTCGGGCCTGCAGCTGCTGTCCGATGACACCATCCTGTTCGACTTGTTCATCTCCAGCGTCTCACCCAACCTGGGCAGCATTGGCGGCGGCACCTTGCTCACCATCACGGGTGGCGGCTTCAGCCCTGTGGTCTCGGAGAACGTCGTCTTCTTGACCGTGCCTGTTTCCACCACCTTCCTAAACGGTATTATTGAGTGCGTGGGCGAGACCGTAACGCCAACGGAGCTGACGTGTCGGACCAAGCCCCACCTTGCTGCAAACTCGGATGCAAATGACCCGTACGCCAAGAACGTCATGCCTGTTCCTACGCAAGCGAAGCCCATCGTGGTCGTGCTGTGCAACTCAACCTATAACATCACCGTCCTTCGCGAGTATTGCTGGTCGCTGGATACTTCAGCACACTCCCGCTGCAACGGGACTTCATGCAACTTCGGGTGAGCCAGGGGTCCGTGCTGGGGCCGTACCGGGCAACTAATCCTAACCCACTGTAGGCTTATGCCTTTTTGCGGGCGGGCAGGTCGAGTATGTTACATAGCTGCCCGCGAGGAGGAGCATAATATAGTTGTCGAGTATGGGCCGAGCTTGTATGAATGTGTCCGTGTACCGACGTGGCTTCTGTCCTGTGGTATGCTAGGTGGAGGGTGCTACAGCACTGAAGTCACACCAAAGATGTTACAGTTGCGCTTCAGCCCCAGTCAGCAGTCTCTGTCACTTGTTTGCCACTGCTTACCACGTATTTGTTTGCATTTTGCTTTGCAGATATTCCACAGTCCTTACCCCTGCCATCTCGGGTATCACACCTGATCGTGGCTACAGCGGTTTCAACTTGGCGGTTTTGGGTGTCTACCTTGAGGACATTACAGTCGTGGAGTTCATGCAAGGCAAAACGGTTATGGGTCTTGGTAGCGATGTGATAGTTACCGCTGACGACTTGAACACCACCGCCAACGGGACCCTGGGCTACAACGTTACCTGTGTCGCCCCGGACCTGCCCGCCGGGATCTACAACATCCGCATGAAAAAGGCCAACGGCGAGATGTCGGTCGATCCGCTTGCAGAGGGCATCTTCACGTATACGGCAACCATTGTCAGCTTGTCCAACAATGCGGGATCTCTTGCGGGCGGCTTGCCATTGGTCCTCACCGTCGGTGGTACCGGGCTTGTAGTTGGTGAAAAGAGCGCCACTGCAAATAAGGTGACCATCGCCGGGCTGCCGTGCCCCATCGTATCAGTAGACAGCGCTACGCAGCTCACGTGTACGGCGCCTGGCATCAACGGCTACGTGTATGCCGAGTACTGGAACTTGGGCGCAAGCACCTCTTCAATGCCTGACCTCCTTACGTATATTCAACCAGGTGCGTGCGTTGTCCGCATGGGGCTCTCTGCCGATGCAGCATGCAGATGGGATTGTCTGACGCTTCAAGGTATATAAGCTTGCCTGTCGACATAATACGACGCCAGCATTACTCAATTGTATAGTCATGTGGCAAGAAAACTGGCCGCGAGTCGGAATGTGCTATGATTACCGGAAGGTGATGTAGGCATAGGATTGCCTGTTGAGTAAATACCACGCCAGCAACGCTCAGTTGTATGTGCATGTGTGAGTAAAATTGGCCGCGAGTCGGATCAGACATAGATTGCCGGGAGGTGATGTAGGCATGCGTGTTACCTCTCGTTTTTTGGCGAGCTGAAGCTCCTCTCTTTCTTGCAGATCTGGCACGTCTTGAAAAGGGCAGCAACTTTGACTGGTCATCCGCGTCACCGCTGATTGGCACCATCAACACGGATTACTGGGGTGCGCGCTTCACGTTCTACCTTCAGGTACGGGGTGTCCTAAGGCTTGCCCCGTTGCTTGCCCCTGCAGGAGTGCGGCGTTGGGTCACATAAATGCAACCCAGTCCTTATGCTTGGTGTGCGATTGCTTGGGTACAGGAGTTTATGCCTTTTGGTATCCAGTAATTCCGGACGCTTGGGGACAGTACGGTACTAAACATGTACCTGGCGGTCCTTTCACATTATCACATTCCATGATTCCCCTGCCACCACCCCAACAGACTGATCAAGCAGAGAACACCACCTTCTTCGTCACTGCGGATGATGCGGCTCGTTTGTACGTTGACGGCGTGCTACTAGGCTCCAATGGCTACCTCAACACCTTGTTAAGGAAAGGTGTCCACAAGGTTGTGATGACGTTCGTGGAGTACACCGGCCTCGCCACTTTAAAGATTCTGGCATCTCCGGCGTCGTCTAACTCCTTCACTGCCTTGGCATGGCAGAAGGTCACACCCTTCCCTCCAGGCACGGCGCTGCCGGTGGTGCTGACGGTCAATGGTGTGGTTGCAGACACGCTTTGCCCCCCTACGTACCTTACCCTAAAGCTTCCTAACCAGCCCCTGCTGCCTGCGGAGTCGTCACGGCTGTATCTGCGGAACGCCACCTGCAATTACGTGTATTCTTCGTATCGTACGCCCACGCTCTTTTCCGTTCAGCCAACTGCACCTGGCGGCTTGGTCCAGCCTTCATTCATCGGGACCAACAGCGTCCTTACCATTTACGGCGACTTCTTGACGGATCCCAGCTCCGGAGCGGACAGTATCACCATCACTATTGCCAATCAGTCGTGCCCAATTACGGATATTTCCGTGTACGCGGCCAATGCGACGTTTAACACCACGCGGATTAACTGTACAGCACCTGCCGTACCCGTAGGCACATGGCCGGTGAACATTATGGTAGCTGGCTTGGGTCTGACGCGTCCTACTGCGTCAGCGACTACGGACATGCCGGTGGTGACCTACTCCCTGAAGGTCGTCTCCTACAACAGCCCTACCTTCTCCTCTCCAGTTACCAGCTGCCAGTTCTCCATGTTTGGTGGCGGCACTCTGAACATCAGCGGATATGGCTTTGTAAAGGGGCTGGTGGACGCTTCTCTGCAGCGCAGCATGACAGCGGTGTGGGATAGCACCACTTGCACCACCGCAAGCGCAGCTACGCCCACCTGTCTCGCCGCAACGTCTGGGCACCTCAACCTCACCGCAACCGCCTGCGACGGCCCTACTGCAGTGTACCGGTTGCCGCGTTTCGCCTTCACCAACCCCCAGGCTGTTGCTGGCAACAGCAGCGCCAAGGCTACCTTGCGTTATAAGCCGCGGGTGTATTACACCAACACTAGTCCGCTCACGTATGCCGATACTCCGGGCGCCGAGCAGCTTTACTTCTGCGGCCTCCGCACTCCAGCCCTCTCCAACGTTTCTCCTGCCACAGCGGCGCCTGATGCTGGTGCGGCCGGTACCGCCACCCTCTCGCTAACCTGGTTCCTTGGGGGTGTTGGCACCAACAACGACACCATTGCCGCCACTGCTGTCGGTTCTGCCAGCAATGCGACGGTGGAGTTTGAGAGCGGCCCTACAGTGCTGACTTGTGCTGACCCCGTCGTGACCACCTCCATCATTACGGCATCTACGTACAGCGAATCCGTCTCCTGCAAGCTGCCTACCTACATGCCAGCGTCTAACTACACGCTGTGGCTCTGCATCCAGCCCTTCGGCTGCGGTCTTCTGCCTGCTTACCCTGTGCCGCTGACCGTCTCAGCTGCTACTCCTACCGTCGGCAGCAGTGCTGGCGGCATCACTGTGACCATCACTGGCAGCGGCTTCGACACCAATGCTACCCGCGTCTCCGTCCGCTTTGGCAACAGCACCTGCAAGGTTGTCAGCAGCACTGCTACCGCCATCACCTGCGTCACAGGAGCGCTGGACGCCAAGCCAGCTAGCTCAATCGCAGCGCCGCTCTCAATAACACCAACCATTGGGGCGAGCGAGACCACCTATCCCAGCCTAACCTTCACCTTTGACCCTGCGCTGGAGTCTACCGTCTCGTCTATTATCCCACCGCGTGGTTCCACGGAGGGCGGGACACCTGTCGTACTAACTGGCACCAACTTCCAAACTGGCGTAACCACCACCGTTACCATTGGCGACACAGCTTGCGGCTCCGTCGTGGTGCTGAACGACACCGCCATCTCTTGCACCACTGGCAAGCCGCCGTCGACTGTGCTGCGCGTGCCATTGCCGGTGTCCGTGTATCAGGAGGGCCGTGGCGGTGCACGGAGCTCAGTGTCCTATCAGTATATCGACCTATGGAGCCGCAACAGCACGTGGGGTGGCGGACCGCTACCTGGTTTTGAAGATTCGGTTCTCATTCCTAAGGGCGTCACCGTGCTGCTCGACATCAGCCCGCCCAAGCTGTTCTTCCTCGTCCTGGAGGGTAACCTGGTGTTCGATGATACCAAGGACTACATCAACCTGCAGTCGCATTACATCTTGGTCAAGGGCGGCAACTTCACCATCGGTTCTGCGGAGAAGCCCTACCCTGGCCGCGCCAACATCACCATGCATGGGGCCCCTAACAGCCGTGACCTGCCTATGTATGGCGCCAAGTCCCTTGCCATTCGTGATGGAGTTGTCACCTTCTTCGGGCAGCCGAAGATACCTGTCTACACTGTCCTTAACCAGACGGTGGATCCGGGGGCAACTGAAATCACTGTTAACGGCATGGTCAACTGGCAGGTGCGCGGCGTGTGTGCTGTGTGATTGCGTGTGTTGGGCAGGGGCTGTTGTGCAACTTACCCTCAGGTCATGGAGTGGGAAATACAGCTGGGTGGCCATTGCAGTCGTAGTGTTAGTGCCATCATGTGTAACGCCTTCTGCTTAGGTCCTCGCAAGAGTTGCGGCATTAACTTCCTCGCAAGATCTGTGCCTTCCCTGACAAGGTGGCACTTCCCTTCTCTGCCATGGCATGCCCTGCTTTCAGGTTGGCGATCGCATCATCATTACTAGCAGTAGCTTCCTGCCGGAGGACTTTGACGAGGCTGTCATCACGGCACTGGACAACACGACTGTACCAGGCTGCACAATCATCTCCATCGACCCGCCACTCCAGTATACCCATCTGGGCGAGATCCACTCGCAAGCCGGCGTGCCAAGGCCCCTCGACATGCGTGCAGAGGTTGCGGTCTTGACACGTAACATTGTCCTGCAGGGTGATTACGATAGCGCGAAGTACATGTATGGCGTTCAGGTCATGGTCAACTCGCCCAGCTACCTGCCGCGAGCCCTTGCCCGTTTTGACAACATTGAAATTACGCAGTCTGGCCAGGCGTTCCGGCTGGGCCGCTACTCCATGCATTGGCACATGCATGGCGACGTCGCTTTCCAGTCTTGGGTCCGGGGATGCGCTATCCACAACACCTACAACCGTGCCATTACTGTCCACGGCACCCACCGCTCTATCATTAAGAACACGGTGGCGTTCAACACAATGGGCCACACGTTTTTCATGGAGGTACGACAGGTCCAGCAGTGTTCCGAGTAGTAGGGGGCTCAGGAACGTTTTGATCTTATTTGGGTATCTTATGTCTGCACTGTAAGGGATTTCAGTTGTCCGCTGGAGGAGCTAGCACAAAGAGTAGTTGGATTTGGCCATAAGCTCAGGGCATCTGCGCTTATCCTCCCCTCAAAGTAGAACTATTGTCATGTTCCCTGTCATCTTCCCAAGTCATCTTGACTCGTTACGTTACATCGGCCCAATCCGTTCGTTGTCCTCAGGATGGCATTGAAACGGGTAACCTAATGGAGTACAACATCGCCATCTACAACAAGCGGTCTGACGCGCTGCTTATCTCGGACACCACTCCAGCCCAGTTCTGGATCACCAACCCCAACAACACTGTGCGCCATAACGTTGCCACGGGCTCACTCTCGTACGGTTACTGGTATCGCATGCTGGTAAGCTGGCTCTTTGTCACTTGCGCGGTTCATTAAGAAGACTGCGCTTTCCCAGCTTAGAAGCATGCCGTTGGGTGAACGTCAGTTGGCAATGCCAATAGTAGCACCAGTGTGTTCGCCTGTTAGCGACCTCGCTCTCGCAATGAACGCTTGCCTTGACGAGAGGGTGTTGTGACAAGGCATTTGCCTGCTAAACAGGACTACCCAGATGGACCTTCCGCCACGACGACGGTCTGCCCCAAGTTCACGCCCCTCCTCGAGTTCACGAACAACACCGCCCACTCCAACCAGTTTTACGGGTTCCGTATCCATCCCGAGTACTATCCGAGGAATAACCCGTGCAATGGCTTTACGGGAACCTTCGCCCAGCAGCCAGCCGTCTTCAACGGTTACAGGGCTTACAAGAATGGCGTGAAGGGTTTTATTGGCTCGCAGGTACGAGGAGTGGTGTGCTGTGGCTGTTGGGGCATTAAATGTGCTTGATCGTCTGTTTCCAATTGCTATGCTGTTGTAAAGCTGCTTTTGTTCCCCTCTAGATATTGCATTGCTTACATGTGCCTGTGCATACCTTCCTAGGCATGAGCGCGACGCCAATTAGAGGCCTTAGCCGATACTGAAATGCTGCGTGGGTGCGGGATTAATTTTGGGTTCCATTCCAGCTGTCTTTGTTGGTTTTGGCTGTTACACCGTTTGCAAGGCTATCACTCCATCCTAATGGCCCGTGGATAGCCTTAGCACTTACATTTGCATGTATGCTTTCGTGCTTGCCTTTTTTACGCAGTTGGGTTGGGTCCAGATGACCAACGCGGTCCTTGGCGACAACGGCGCGGGCCCTAAGACGCATATTGTTAGTGGCAAGGATAACGGCGCTAACTGGGAGATCTCATGGCAAGTGGACGACCGCAATCGCTTCAATGTTGCGCTGACCGAGATGGCCGGCCTCATTAACGCTACCTTGTATGCGCGGACCACGACGGGCATGCACGGCACTGCTGGTTACTGGCCCTCCAGTCGTCGGAATACAGGAATTATCGCGCATAGTCCCGTGAGAGGTCACCCCCGCCACTCAGCGCTGATGAGTCTAATTAACGTGACCTTCGTCGACTACACCCCAACCACCGGCTCCAACTTCTTCGCGTTGGAGCACTGCGGCAAGTGCAAGAACTATCAGGGCGGTGCTACTTGCTTCACGGCCAACCTCACCTTCTTCAATTCGGACGGTAGCTTGCCAGCGCTGTCGTACTGGAGCTGGGGCCACCAGGGTATCTTCGTGGACACTGACGGCACGCTCATTAACAACAAGACGCTGCCTCTGGAACTGCTACCAAACTCTACTGCCAACTGGACGTACGGTCCCGGCACCTCTTGGCATTCGGCTGTGGAGAGCGAGTTATTTGATCCTGCGGAGTGCGTCTACATCCGGGACTCGTACGTCAGCAACAATGGTGCCTACTGCAGCCCTGCCCTCACCTTCAGGCGCATTATGCTTAACGGTCACTATCCCGAGGTGTGTAGGGTGTGTGGTTGGTTTGCGTCAAAGCGCCATGGGCTTTTAGGGTCTTGATCACAGGTCTCGACTTAGCTTTGCATTGCTCGTATCATAAGTTGGACCAGTTAATCTCGGTGCCTATTGCTGTCCTCCACTGCACTGCGCTGCATGACCCGTAACGTAGCTTGAGTGTGTTCCCCGTGCGGGAAATATTTCAGGCACTGGACTAATTGTTGTTTATTTAATTAGCTGCTCAATTAATAATTGCGAGGCCGTTTTAACTGTAAACAGCTGGGTTTCATTTCTTTTGCTTGCTTGCCTGTCCTGCTACTTTCTCTGGTTTCACCCTGTAACGTGGCCATCTCGGTACCCACAGGCTCTGGCATCAAGAGACCTGATCGTTGTGTCGCTTGCAACGAACCGTTCTTCGGTGGTACATGAAACACATTACAACGAAGATGGCTATCAATTCACGGTTGCGACGGGACGCGACTACTCAGTTCATTGGGGGGTACCGTTCCGGCTGGACCCCGAGTATTACACGTAAGTCCGTTTTTGATCGTTACTTGTAGGGTTGGGACTTTAAAATTTACGGTATTACGTTCTGACGTGAATACACCACCGTAATTACGTCACGCCCAAACAATGGCCACGCTTTTTGCGTTGTGAGACCCTATTTTTATACTTAAAGCAGGGGGGTTACATTTTCTTTTGATAAACCCCATGATCGATTTTTGATGTCGATCCCTCTCGGACCCACTCGCCCACCAGAACTTCGAACACTCTTTCCTCAAGTTGCCGTACGCCTTAGGAGACGCAAAAAACCATTGGATTCCTTTCTGTGTCCTCTTTCGATGGACCAACACCGAAAGAGGACACTGAAAGGAATCCACCTACTAAGTCATGCCATGGTCACGCCATTTAACCCTATGGACAGCAACCCTATGGGTGCACCGTCGTACACAAGCTCTCCACGCACGCACTGCTGTGTCAAGACCGCAATTGTTTTGGTATTTCTCTGACCACCCATGCATGCGTGGTGTCATGTATCATGCCATGCCCAAACCATACCGTAAATACAATTATAGACTGCTTACAGTATGTTTCTCGTGTACATAATACTTCATGAGGATTTGAATTGCTCTCAACTAGCTCTTTAGTCTTGAATCATGGGGTCTGCCCTTGTGTTTCCTAGCTACCCCCCCCCGCTTAAAGTGTAAGAAATTAACTCATGCCCACAATTAAGGCGCTTGCATACATCAGAAACGTAACCGTAACCGAAAAAGTATGCCAGTTTTGGGCGGAGCCCCCGCCGCGAAGCGGCTTTGGGGGGGCTCGCCTGTCATGTCCGTGTGTCCGTCCGTCCGTCCGTCCGGAACGGCAAAACATACAAACTAGACAGAACTATTCTTTGCACCTAATAGATATTTGTTATCTGTATTCAGTAAAAATAACGGAAGCCAAACAAGGCACGTCAGCTGACATATCCGCCATACTACCGTACAATGTTATACTTTGCCTAAATTACGGGTTTATGACTATTGACGTAATTACTGTTACGTCATTACGGCCGCCAAAACTAGTTACGGCGTGAAGTCCCAACCCTAGTTACTTTCCCACGTTGCTCATCTTGCTTGCGAGGGTCATACGTAAAGGCCCAAACATTTCTTAAATTTCCTTATTGCATTCTTTACATGTATTTGGAAATAAATAGCTGACGGTAGCGTGCTGCTTACAATACCTAACTAGGTTCTGAAAGCAAGCAACCTCTACCGTTGCATGCCTGCTATGCCTGTATGGAACATGGAGATCCCGACAATTCACGCAAATCTCATTCCGTGCAGGCTACACAAGATGGACCTTATGGATGGCCCGCACTTCGTATACGTGACGAGCAAAATCCTTCAGGTCAAGGACCACTGGACAGTGAATAGCAAGACCTCCAACCTCACGGCCTTGCCGGCGGCGCTGCCCAACACGACCCATGGGTCGTTCTACTACAACAAGACCCTGTCCTTCAACAGCTGGTGGTGGAGTAACCGTACCTACAACGACACTAAGTTCACAGTCTTTGTGAACGGTCGCACTGATAGCTCTCTGCACGTAATCTCCTATCCTTGCCCCGATACCGGCTGTACTGAGGTCCCGGATACTGTGGTAGACATCCGTAACGGCACCCTGTACTGGTCTGACAACTCCACCTGGACAAACCGGGTCGGTGGCAAGCCTAAGATGGGCGAGAACGTGACTATCCCTTACGGCTGGGACCTCGTAATTGATGAATCCCCGCCGCTTCTCCAGTTCCTAAGTATCCAAGGTAGCGTCCGCTTTGATGCAACACGTGACATCACGCTAAGCGCCACCTACATTTTTGTGATTGGCAAGGGATCTCTCACCGCTGGTAGTCCTTCATCGCCCCATCCGACGGGTGTTACGATCGTTCTGAATGGCACCCGTGATACCCCGGATATAGCCATTGACAACTCTCTGAACCTGGGTTCCAAGGTGCTGGCGGCAATCTGGGGTGGCACCATCGATCTGCATGGCCGTCAGGTGTGTCGGGAGGGTAGGGTGGTGATGGGCGCAGGCTTTGTTACAATTGGGTAGCGGTTGGCGCTGCCTCCTTAATATTTTCTTACGGTTACAAAACATTGTTTAATGCTTAAAATTTTCAACAATAAGTTACAATTGTTATGAAATGGTTTTTGATCCCTACCGTAATGGCTCGTGAAACACCAACCCCTGGACCCTTACACTGCAACAACCAAGCAAACGAGGTTAAACGTGCCGGGAGAAGTCCCTGACGCGCTCACCGTGCCTTCCGTACCAAACTAAGCTGCTAACTCTACTAACCAATGTCACGGTCGCGGACCCAACCTGCTTGGGCATGTTCCTACCCTTAGCTCACGCAGAGACATCCCCCGGCAATCGCCCGAAACAAGACAACAAAGAAGGGCGGGTGGGTGGGAAACAAGGGGGTTCAGCTTTCTCAAAAGAGGGAAAAAGTGGAGCCCCTCCTCTTTAGTACAGGAACGTATTATTACCACTGGAATGGCACGGCATGCGCTCCTGTGGCTCCACGGCATCAGTTGACCTAACACACTTGAATACAAATGTCGAACCACCTTGCTTAATGTAGTTCGAGTGTTCGTTGCATGGCTAGACGAGCTCAGAGGCCCTTGCCCAGTCGAGGACGGCCGCCTTGTTCACCCATGGCGTACATAGTGTCCTCACTCATTGCACACATTGTTAGGTTAAGCCTGTTCAATCGAGTACTCAGTAACGCCTTATCATGCTTGATAACACCCACGCATCAGGCTACAGAACCCAAATCGACGGCGTAACTGCCACATGGGAGTGTTTTCAGGGTCCCGCAGGTCGTTTAGGTTTCACCTACATTATGAACATGATGAGGGGTTCAGGCCCGGCAATCTCGGCATCGTGCAGAAGGACTTCAGTCATTGCACCGTAACATTGCATGTTAGCTTATAGGCGAGGTACCCGTTTGCGTTCTATTTCATAGGCATTATGGCACGCGGACCAATAGCAAAGGCTGGCAACATCGTCACAAAGGATTGTGTGGGCTCTGAGTAGCAGAGTAAATGCAAGCGTGCTCCCGCCGACTTTCACAGGTAGCCCTTTGCCGGCACGCCGCTGTTTCCAATTAACTAAATACTGTTTACGGTACCCGGACACACCATAGATCAGCGGTAATCAGTGTTGCCACAGTGGTCCTTTTCAATGGCTGGTTAATAGTTTGTTCATTCGGAAACCATGCTTGTTTGGCTTGCAATTAATTTTTACTAATTACAGATAACATATATCTGTAAGGGTCTAATAACAGTTTTGTCTAGTTTGTATGTTTTGCCGTTACGGACGGACGGGCGGACGGACACCAGTGGGCGGGGGCTCCGCCCAAAAGAAAGTAAGTAAAAACGCAGGCGTCCAAGCCCTACGCACCAAGGGCCGCAAGCGATTGACTAGCGTTGACTATTTGTAATTAGGCAGCAACTGGTCATATAACGACGTAGGCAACCAAGGCGAGGCGCAAGCTCAACGCAGCAAGCAGAGAGTCGGCACTCCAAACGCAAGCTGCACACATAAGCACACCTGTACGACAAGCAGTGCACTCGCCTCTACGGGTCCTCAAACTAGATTTTCAGCTACGCCAAAAATAAAATATTTTAAGGCTCCTCTTTTGTACGAAATTAACATGTAGCTCCAAGGGGTGCACACCTGCGGGACAAGTTAATAATTTCCTTGAAGTGAATCACTCCGTTTGCATTTTCCAATTATTTTACATAAAAGTGAGTACTGTTTTATTTCTTGTTCTTAACACCCTGGACTTTTAATGATGTTCCACTCCCTTGTGACGCTTCCAGGTCAATCAGCGCTGGCTCCGCCTCAACGTTGCTGTCAAGCCCGGAGACACGAACATCACCATTTCCCATGGCAACCATGGCTGGCGTGTTGGAGATAAGATCCTTATTACCTCTACTACCTATAACTGGAAGCAAAGTGAGATCCGCAACATCACCGCCATCCTGAACAATGGCACGGTGCTTCGTCTCGATTCACCACTGGAGCACCCTCACGGTGCGGTGGTTAAGGGCTACCCTGGAAGCCCAGTCGTGGACATGCGTGCCGAGGTTGCCTGCCTTTCCTCTAGCATCCTCATCACCGCCAAAGACGGCCCTTCAACGCACGCCTATGGCGGCGAGTACTTTGGCGCCCGTGTGGTGGTCTCGGGCAACTCCACAGGCCGCTTCGGCAACATTGCCATGGAGTATTGCGGGCAGGGCGGCTTACCAGATCGCGCATGCGTTTTCTACGATCGCCTGACCAACGTTAGCGCCTCCATTACCAGCTCTAATTCCAGCAGTGATACGGTCGTGCCTAACCCCAGCTTCCTTAGGGGCAGCGCTTTGGTATATGGCCTGAACAACAACGTGCGCATTGGTGGAGACCCCTACATCCATAATCCAGTTGAAATCACTGGGAACGTCATGTTTGAGGCCTACGATACCCACAGCGTGGATGTCGATACTTCGTGAGTGGGGCTACTCTTTGTGTCACAATGCGGGGGGCGTCAGCGTTGAAACATGCAATGCTTATATTTAACTGTTCTTAGGTAGCCAAATGCAAGGGGAGTGATAGGAGGATGCATGTTACCTTCGTTGTTTGCCCGACTAGCTCGTAAAATTGGGAAACAATAAAGCGAAACCGCTATAACCAGACTAGCTCCCCTAGCCGTGTTGCGCTGGGGTGCTGCACACAACGCTCTGTCCCTTGGCTTATGCGCGCAGGAAAAATAAAATTATTGGCAACTTGGTCGTGGGTACCATTAAGGAGATGAACGGTAAGAGTAGCAGCGACCTTTACATGCCATCGACATTCAACATTCTCTCTGCTAGGAACTGGGTAGAGGACAACGTTGCTGGTGGCTCAGAGCGGTATGGCTACACGCATTACGGCCTGCCGTGCGGAAACTTCACGGAGGGTTCCTTCCGGAACAATTCCGCGCATGCCTCATTGTCTGGCATGTGGCTGCGTGCCAGCAATGAGTCAGTTGATGCTGGCTGCACCGTAATCCGAAACTTCACAGCCTACACGAGTTGGGGTGAGTCGCGTAAATGCCCGCATTTACAGGTTTAGGGGGTGTTTTGTACGGGATGCCATGCAGATTTCCTTGCATCCCTTATAACCTCAGTCGTTGACTGTAAGTGCAAAGCCCGTAACGTATGGGTACGGCTTTGCATTTTTGAAAGACCTGTCCCGCTTCTAACGTGCTTTTATGCTGCAACGTTTGTCAGCAGCCCTCAATTACTTCCTTGCTTCATAACCCCTTTCGCAGATTTCGGTCTGATCACAACTCGCGGAATTTGGACAAACGTTTGGCTTGAGGACGTTAACGTCCTAGATAGCAAGCATGCAGGCGTTACCATCCTCCGGATTGGTGCCATGACGGATAAGGCAAATGCATACTGGAAAGGAGGCCTCCTTGTCGGCCAGTCGAGCCCTGATGTGTGCACCTACTGCACTAAGAAGAAGGACATTGGCTGCCACCAGAAGCTCTCCGTACAATCTTACAATCAGGGTGATCCTTTCTCACCGTCCATGGGAATTCAGTCAGCACAGTTTGCCCTTGATTTCGGCCCCGGGCCTGAGAAGAAACCGTATGATAAGGCCAAGGGCTATTCCCTTGCGCAGGTACGTCTGCTTGGGAAACAGTACGGCTACTATGCTCGGTTGACAGTTGTAGACGTGAATGCAGCGGTTTGTTTGCACTGATTAAGGGCTTGCAGACAGCACGATGTACCACCTATACCTTGAATTGCTAACAGACATGCAACTAATCCCAACGCATTGCAACTTCCCCTTATGATGCACGCAGGGCATGTTCAATGTTACTGGTGTGACATTGGCGGACTACTATGGTCCAAAGGACTGTGGTGGTTCAGGTGCCGGAAGCTACGCCCTTGCTAACCACCATTTGGGTTTCGATGCTTTCTTCCCCCACTTCTTTTCCAACATGACTGTCATCAATGTTGCAAGAGGGTAAGCCTAGAGAAGGTGGTATTGCGTTTATTAAGGCTTATGGACCTACCACGTAACTAGGTATGCCGTGTATACGTATGTTTGGAGCTGGCATGCGCACAAATTTGCATATAATGCGTATAGTACGCGTATGCGTACATGGCTGACCGTAGACATACTGGTTTAGGGCCACGCTCATACCGAGTTCCACCATACACAACATAAATGAGGCTTGACAGGGGAAACACTATATGTACCCATCTCTAGGCGCCCACAGCCCCCCTACACGCCAACTGCACGCGGGGTTTGGGCGGTTTCCCGACAGCATACACAACCAGGCTTCCCTTTATACGGAATTGGGGTTTTGCACCTATTGCGCATACGCTGCCATAATTATGCGTACGTAGTATAATATACGCCGACATGCCTACGTATAACCATGGCCAGACCTGTCAGAACATATCAAACTGTACATCCCTGCCGCTGCAGTGAAACCCAAGGCTTGGTGCTCCACACACCTGCTGACCCTGGCTGGCGCAATGAGCGTGATTGCTACGACATCGAGTACAAGCGCGCCGATGGCACCATCATTCCGCTCAACTGCGCGGGCCCTAACCACGTCTACTGGCGTGACCTTGATGGCTCCCTCTTTGGTCAAGCGGGCACGATTGCTGGTCAGTTCTTGGGCGGTCAACGTGTCTTCCCCATGGACCAAGGCACCGCCGTGGTCCCTGGCCCATGCACGTACTCACCCATCTTCAAGTCTTACAGCTGCGTTACTGGCTCGTCCAACTTCCTGCTTGATCCGCGCCTCAAGCCCAACCCCATCCCTCCAATGGGTATCTTTGGTGACCCACAACACTTCGTGCTTGAGAGCCGTGATAAGGACAGCGAGGATCGCAACTTCAGCCCTGTCTTCTTTAACGTGTCGGGCTCCATTGACCTGGTTGTAAACGCCAAGGACTACGGCTGCTGCTTCTCCTACGGCTGCCAGAAGCGCCTATCCACCTTCTGGACACACCTCCCCAGTGGGCACACCGTATACATCAACTTCACCGGCACGCCTTCGCAGAATTTCCGGCTCTGGTTCCCGTATGCGGACCCGGATAAGGAAATCATCCTTGTTATCAACTACATGTATACGCTGAACCGCCGTTACGTCTACCTGCCGCCTGGTAACGGAGACTACACGGGCCGTGTGACACCTCAGACTCAGCCGCCTAAGATTGGCGACGGCACGGGCCATGGCGACTACTATTGGGACCAGAACAACACGCTGATGTACGTGAAGATGACGGGCGGCTACTTCCTGGAGATTCGTACTGAGAGCGCGGTGCTGGTAAGTGCGTGGTCAGGCTATGCCCGGGCTATGTGCGCACGTTTACGGGTAATTAGTTGCATCAGGGCTATCCAATTGCCTCCCCCGCATGCTTGCTTGTGTGGTGGGATGCTTCTGCAGGTTGCTTGAGGGCCGGTTGTAGCCAGCGCCTGTTTTGTTGTGCGAACCCTTCCTAATCCTTGTGCGAACCCCTTCCTAACCCGCCTCCGCCCTGCTACCTCTCCGCAGGTTTCTCAAAACTTTGCCCTCACCATCGACCAGTTCTACTCCACTGCCCAGCTATTCCTAACCAACTTGGCTGGCGCAATGGGTGTTGACCTGAACCGCCTGTACATCGCCAAGATTGTTCCCGGATCGACTCAGGTCACGACCGGCATCACTCCTGTGGTCAAGACCCCAGCTCCGCTGCCTGAGCTGCCACTCACCGGTGGCTCGGATCCTGGAGACCCGCCTCCAGAGTACTCGCCACCACCGCCATCGCCTCCGCCCTCACCGCCGTCCACGCCCCCTCCTCCTGACAACTCGGGGTCGGGTTCGACCACCACCGAGGATATTGGAGACCTCGTCAGCGCCGTCCTCGCCTACAACAAGGCGGTCTCGGACCCTGAAGCCGCTTCTGTCCTGGGTGTCGCTCCGCTGGGCGCCCCTGTCACAGACATGAGCGGTGTCACCGGCACGGATGCTTCGCTCTCGCAGGCTGTTGCGCAGTCTCTCGTGGAAGCCGGCGTTGAGGTTGTTGATACCAGCTCACCACCACCGCCACCTCCCTCGCCGCCTTCACCACGTCCGCCTCCTCCTTCACCCTCCCCTCCTTCACCCACTCCACCATCCTCTCCTCCGCCGTCCAACCCCCCTCCCTCTACAGTTCCGCTGCCACCGTCACCAGCGCCATCACCCCCGTCTCCTCCCACACCACCCCCCTCCGTTCCGCTTCCTCCCGCTCCTCCCTCACCTTCCCCGCCCACTCCTCCACCCCCGCTTCCGCCTTCCCCTTCGCCCCCACCGCCTCCGTCCCCTCCTCCGCCGCCTCCGTCGCCGCCCGCCCCTAGCGGCCCTGTCTACTGGTCGAACTCCACCACATGGACCCACAGGGGTGGCAAGCCCAAGGAGGGAGAGAACGTGACCATCCTGGAAGGCTGGGAGGTGGTGATTGACGAATCACCACCGTCTCTCCATGTCCTAACTGTTCAGGGTTACCTGCGCTTTGACCCGACTATCGATATCGAGCTTGCCGCGACTCATATCTTGGTGATGGGCAAGGGTGTTTTCCGTGCCGGTACCCCGTTGGAGCCGCACCCGGCCGCTGTTACCATCCAGCTGAACGGCTCACGCACCACGCCTGACATCACGGTCCAAGGTGTTGTGCTGGGCTCCAAGGTGCTGGCGGCCATCCTCGGTGGCACCATCGACTTGCACGGTCGCCAGGTGGGGCCTGGGTGCGCGTGGGCTGACAGATGCGGGGTCCAGGGAGACAGGACCGGGTTAAAAGGTGTGGCCGGCCGTTCGTTAACAGCCGCAATGTTGGACACTCTGGGTCGGACCAAGCCGTTCATTTGCTCACAGACTCTACCCGCTTCCGTATGCAATCCCTGCTGTTTCCGCCTATTTATCCCGACTTCCGCCTGCCGTTCTGTCCATCACCGTTATCCATTCCTGCCGCCAGGTTGGAGAGCGCTGGACCCGCCTCAATATTGCTGCTGCACCTCGAGACACGAACATCACCGTCGCCAACCCCAACCACGGCTGGCAAGTGGGCGACAAGATCCTCATCACCTCCACTACTTTCAACGTCTGGCAGAGCGAGATCCGCAACATCACCGCCATCAGTGTTGACGGCACTCAGCTGACGCTGGATGAGCCACTGGAGTACCCACACGGCTCGCTGGTCAAGGCCTACCCCGGTGGCCCGACGGTTGACATGCGCGCTGAAGTTGGCCTCCTTTCCTCCTCCATCCTTATCGAGGGCCGCGCGAACACGTCAGTGTTCAGCAGCGACCTGTATGGTGCGCGGGTGGTCGTGTCAGGCAACTCGACGGGTCGCTTCAGCGGCATTACTATGGATTATTGCGGTCAAGCGGGCGTGGCAGGCCGCACTTGTGTCCTCTTCGACCGTCTGGGCAACGTTCGCGCTGGCGCCGTCAACACCAGCGGTTCGGACTCTGATGCACGAATCCGTAACCCCAGCATGCTGCGCAGCAGTGCGCTGGTATGGGGTATGAACGGCAACGTGCGTGTGGCCGGCAGTGCCAGCGCTGACCCCGTCGACATCACCAACAACGTGATGTTTGTGGCGTACGAAGGCCATGGCATTGACGTTACCAGCATGTAAGTAGCAGGCAGGGGCAGTTACCGCCCAGCTGCCGCCTTCCTGCCAACTGTTCGCATTAATGACGTCTGGTCAGACTCCTTTGGCACAGTTGTGCAATGGTATTTGCAAACCCGTTGCTGATATCCTTTCCCCGTTTATCCCGCCCTGCAGCAACAACACGGTCAACGGCAACCTGGTCCTGGGCTCCATGAAGGAGATGAGCGGCAACCACACCGCTGACGTGGGAACACCCGCGTCCTTCAACATCCTTTCAGCCCCCAACTGGGTTGAGAACAACGTTGCGGCTGGCTCTGAGCGATACGGCTTCGCCTACTACGGCATGCCTTGCAACCAGTCGTTCACATCTGGCTCGTTCCGCAACAACACGGCACATTCCTCTCTGGTGGGCTTGTGGCTGCGGGCTAGCAACGAATCGCTGTTGGATGGCTGCACGCTGCTTCAGAATTTCACGACCTACATGAACTGGGGTGAGTGGGGTTAAAGGGCCGTGCATGCAAGGTACTTCTCTGTGGCTTAGTTCCTATAGACTCTGATGCATGGAACGCAAGTGTGCCATCACGTTGATATGTACGAAACGCTAGATAGCTATGTAACTAAGAAGTGACGGGCGTTCTGTTGGTACTGTCCTGCAGACTATGGCATTATATCGACCCGCGGCATTCCCACGGACGTTCTGTTTGAGAATGTTAACGTGCTGGACACCAAGCATTCGGGCGTCACACTGCTCATGTCGGGTGGCATGCTGGAGGAGGCTAGCGCGGAGTGGCGTGGCGGCCTGCTGGCGGGCCAGTCCAGCCCTGATGTGTGCGCTGCCTGCGCTAACCTGACGGATGCTGGCTGCCACCAAAAGCTCTCCACCCGCTCCTTCAACAAGCAGCTGCCTTTCACGCCGGCTGTGGGCTTGCAGTCAGCCCAGTTTGCTCTGGGCTTTACAGTCGGTCCCGAAAAGGCACCGTACGACAGGCCTACTGGCTATGCCCTTGTGCACGTAAGTACCGCTGCACCTATTGCCTCGTCAGCTTCTGCATTGCAGCTGTCCAACATGCCATGCTGCAGGCCTGACACCCCTGGCTTGGTATATACGACTTTCCTGGTCTCGTACCACGCTGATCTCTTGTCCCGGATTTCACAGGGCGCTGTCAATATCAGCGGTGTTACCTTGGCGGACTTCTCGGGACCGACCGGCTGCGGTGGCGTGGGCAGCTACGCACTGGCGAACCATCCGGAAGCAGCAGATGCTTTCCATCCTCACTTCTTCTCCAGTATGAATGTTGTCAACGTCACATCGAGGTAGGTCGGGGGCCATGTCATTACGACTATGGCACGACTATCTTAGCTTCTAAGGGGTATTGCTGCAAGACCGCAGCAACTACTGCTCTTGTGGGATCGCAGCAGCCTTGCTGCCATACCGGTAATTGAAGTTCGATCCCCCTATCCCACTCTGCAGTACGTCGTCGCAAGGCATGTTCCTGCACACGCCGCCGAACCTGGCCTGGCGGAATGAGAGCCGCTGTGGTGTTGCCAACTACACGCTACCCGACAACAGCACCATTCCGCTCAACTGTGGGGGCCCGGCGCACGTCTACTGGCGCGACCTGGACGGATCACTCATCTCTGGTGGCAATGCCACTGCCGCGAGCACCATTGCTGGTGTCTTCCCTCAGGGTCCCCGTGCATTCCCCATGGACCAGGGCACCCCCTTGCTGCCTGGCCCATGCGCCTACTCGTCTGTCTACCACTCGTACAGCTGCTCAGCCGGTGCCTTTGACCTGGAGCACTTTGTGCTTGAGAGCCGGGACAACGACACTGAAACGCGCAACTTCGGGCCCGTCCTTTTCAACGTGTCTGGCTCTGCTGATGTGGTCCCGGCGTCCATGAACTACGGGCCTTGCGCCAACAGCACTTGCCTGAAGCGGCTGTCCACATTCTTCACGTACCTTCCGACCGGCCAGACCGTCTACGTGAACTTCACCGGCACGCCACCTCGCAGCCTTCGCTTGTGGCTGCCTTATGCTGATGTCGACAGGGAGCTGGTGGTTGTTCTCAACTACCCAGCAGCGCGCAACCGGAAGCTTGTGTACCTGGCCCCTGGTAACGGTGCAATGTCGGGTGGCTTGACGGCTGAGTCCCAGGCTGTTGCAATTGGTGACGGCAAGGGCCACGGGGCTTACTATTGGGACCAGAGCAGCTCGCAGCTGTACGTGAAGGTCAAGGGGGGCAAGTCGCTGGAAGTTCGGACCGAGAACGCAGTGCTGGTGAGTGGGGAGCCATGCATGTCAGTACTGGGGCACTGGAACCTGCCAAAGGGAAGCGGCTAGTTCTTGTAGTGTGTTATCAGTGTGCTTGGACGGGCATTAACAATCAAAGGGTATGGAGCCATGCGTAACGGTACTGTGGAAAGGGAAGTGAAGAGATGGGTCTCTTACCAGCAGTCCTGCTTGGTATTGCCAATTCTCCGCTTACCCTCTGTCCTGTGCTTCTGCCCATGCATACAGGTTTCCCAAACTTTCGCACTCACGGTGGACGAGTTCTATGCGACATCTGCTGCGTTCATGACCAACCTGGCTAACGCAACGGGCATCGACGCAAGGCGGATGTACATCCTCAAGGTGGTTCCTGGCTCAGCTGTGGTTACCATCAGCATTGCCTCGGCCCCAGCCAGCTTGCCGAAGCTGTCTGAGCTGTCGCTCTCGGCTGTTGTCGACCCCACGGACCCTGTGGACCCCGCGTCTGCTGTCCTCGTGTCGCCTTCTCGTCGCCTGCTCGACACCACTTCCTCGCCCAGCAGCGAGTTGGCGGACCTGGTGAATGCAGTGGAGGCGTTCAAGGCTGCCGTGGCGGACCCCGCGGCTGCCACCAAGCTGGGAGTCACCCCAGTGGGATCCCCCATTGTGGATGTAGGCAGCCTGACCAGCCTCGACCCCACCCTCGCCCAGGCTGTGTCGCAGTCCTTGTCCAACGCCGGTCTTACCGTCGTGGACTCGACCCAGCCAACTTCTGAATCCAAGTCCACAGACAGCCCGCCGCCACCGCCTGCCTCGACAGCCTCACCGCCACCACCGCCGCCTACAAGTAGCGCTCAGCCGGCCGTTCCCAGTGGTGGAGCCCCTGACGACGGTGGCTCGGGTGGCTCTCAGCCGCTGCCCTCACCCTCACCCTCGCCCTCGCCCTCACCTAAGCGGTCGTCTTCAGGAGGAGGTCTAATAAATGTCCCCGGTGCTGTTGCTGGTGTGGTAATTGCCTGCGTGGTTGCAGCGGTCATAGTTGCAGCTGCTGTGGTCGTTATCAACCGCCGTGCAGCCAAGCGACCTCGGCCTGAGTCTCCGCGCGACGAGCAGCGTGCACCTTCTAACGCCGCTGTGCTGCCGCTTGCGAGCCGTGCAAGCGCCAGTGGCAGTGTGCGCGAGGCCTTCGTGGTCAGCAGCCCTACCAGCGTTACCAACCCTACAAGCCCTGCCGGCTGGGAGCGCCCAGAGCGCAGGCCGCGGACTAGCTGCCCGGGCCATACCATGGAGGCCGAGGGTGAACAACGTCAGCACAGTGGTGTCCCTGACACTCCGCGTTCCAGCGTGCTGGCTGCAGGCCTCCATCCGTCGAACCCGGCTGAGGTCATTCACCCGCTTGTGAAACAGCCTCACAATGCACCTCTTGTGCCGTCGTTACCCCCACTGGGAGCAGTGGTTGGTGAGAGCTTCAACCAACGGACAAAGGCGCCGGCTGAACTCAACGACGGTCTGTCCAGAATCTCAGCACCCTCCCTTTCACCCAGGGACCTGGCTTCAGCAATGGGCAACACGTCTCAGGCTAGGCGCATGAGCTATACGCCTGGCAATGAATCCGACGCCGCCGCTTTGGGCGCCATTCTTGCTACCGCCAACCAGCAGCACGGCGCTGGGGCTGGCAACGGCAGTGGCAGCCGACCCGGCAGTGCACGGCCGACATTGTGTGAGTCGGAGCAGGATGGAAGTGATGGCGTGGAGACTACTGTGACGCCCGTGCAGCACAACATTATGACCCAGGAGTCGTTCTATCCCCGCAAGCCTCGCCCTGGCAGCGGCAACCCCGTGCACACCGCTGGCGCCGAGACAGTTGCAGCTGATGCCGACCAGGCAGGTGCAGAGCGTGCGCCGGCGCCCGGATCACCGCCGAAGCCAGGTGCAGCACCCCGCCCCACCATGATGCTGCCTGGCGGCATGCTCTCGTTCGATGCAACGCCATCGCTCCTGCGCAGTGAGGTTGCCGCCATGATTCTGGCGGCTAGCGGTGCTGAAGAGGGGACATTGGATAACGGCCAGGGGGCAGAGGCTAGCGCACCAGCGGCGCGCACTCCAGCAGGCCTGCACAGTGACAGCATGCGGAAGCGTGATGATGCGTAGGTCGATGAAAGGTTTCTGCATGACCGTTAGGTACTGCTGTAGTCACTGCAACCTCCATGCAGCGAGTCCTGCGGTAGATATAGATTTAGATAGCATGCGGAAGCGTGAGGATGCGTAGGTGTATGGAGGTTTCGGTTAAGCACAGTGGCCACATGCAACTTTACCGCAACAAGCCGCGCAGTAGGTTTTCATGTGCAGGTTGTGTGACGTGGTTCAACACTCTACGTACCGGCATTGGGATTGGAAGCGGGAGCGTTTAACTGTGCATTGTTGTTGAGGACTTTGGGTCGTGAAGTGCCCAAAGTGGTCAGGGTGCATAGCCTTATTTACCGGTATGTGGAAGGCTGCAGACCTCATTCATGGGAGACATAAAGGGGGTATAAGGCGCACAAGATGTCTTTTTGTCGCCGCCGCACCGTGCTTTCGTATGTACTGCGTTTCTCCGCCCGTACGTTGGCATGGGTGTGTGAATAGATGCCGTAGTTGTAGTAGTTCGTGACGCTAGCAATTCTTACTTGCTTCCCGCCATTCCATGCCACATCGGAGGCCCTCGCAAGTTGTGTATTGGAGTGGGCTGCCTGCAATTCTTCCTTTCCCAGTCTGCGTTCGTAGGACGTTACAGATCAAATACCAACCACCTCATAGTAGCGCTTCCGGTAAGGATTTTCTGCACGTATGCTGTATGCGATCAGGTCGCCTCTAGAGTTACAGAGGACGTCTGCGTTATCCTATGAACCTTGCCCGGGACTGCAAAAGTGTTTTCTGAGCAATCACTCGTTGATTTCGTCTTCTGTGTCGTTGTGATTGCTTCATGTTCATTAAAAGCGTTTAGGGTACTGCATGATGCAGTACTCCATTGCCAATGGTAGTGCACGCACGTGTGGGGCCCCCTTTCTGCGTAGCTAGATACATTATACCAAGCCACGTTTGCAGCTGAAAGCTTTCTGTGTAAGGTTACAAGGCTTGCAACTTTCAGACATGTAAAGCCTAAACTTGCCAGGGCAGCCCGCCTGCGGTAAAGCCCAACTTTGTATTGCCACACGGCTTGAAACTCATTCATCCAGCCATACCCCCGATGCTGGGGATGAAACGATTGCTGGGGAATCCGCTATGTTGGTTCACCCCCGTGATACCCAATACAAACCTCATCCGAAATCCAAAAGCCATCGACTGCGTACACCCTTTGCGTGCATAACACCACACATTGCTGGGAAGCTCCGCGGGCGGCACGGCCCCTGGATGCCCCCTGTCCGTGTGTAACGCCAATACTCCACGACCCAAAGCTTGCGAGCAGGTATATACTGCAAGCTCCGGGTTGGTTACGTAGTAGCGGCTACTAGCTTATAATTAACCATGTCTACGGAAATCCTTTCGGAAATACCTGTATCTGAGATCACTGTAACATTGCATTGTATAGTGCATGGCGGAGGCACAAAAGAAGTGCGTTTAAATAGGGTTTTTTTCCCGGACGCCGTACGAGACTCCTCAGACCCTATGGCATAGGGCCCCCTGTTAACAGGCTAGCAATGCTTGGTATTAACCCTGGTAGCACTGACCAACCTCTGATATTGCCCTAGTATTTTTGTAGGGTATTACTAGGTTAGTTTCGTGCTGGTAACTAGCTTGGTAAGAGAGTCTTAGGGAAGGACTACGGACTTCTGTGTTCATTTTCCTAGATTACTGCAAAGTCAGTTCTCAGTGTGTAGGTAAAGCCGCCCCATGCCAGGACGCCGTAATTCTGTGGAACGTTACTCAACAGCAAACGTGCTATTAGCATGTCTAACGCGTGCCGTACCCCTGACACCTGTGTCCTTACTTGCCTATCATGTGCCCCGGACCCAACCAAGTAACGGTGTCGTACGAGGAACAGTTATAGGCTTATACCGGGATCCTCGCTTCCTAATAGCGGGAGCCTAGTGCTTTCGCTGCATTAAACAGTTAAAGATTTTGGGCTTTATGATAAGTTACCCACCCGGTTTAATAAAATTTTGTGCTTCCTTGCTAGCATGATGACAGGAACCATGGGTCATGTTGTCCTCACGGTTACATAGTGAAGGCGTTATCAACCGTTGCATCGGCAATCCCTGGGACTGCTGACTTACAAAACAACTGCATTCATGCAAGCAAGTTCAACGTGCTTGCGAACATGATAACTGGGGTCAACAGGAATCTCATTGACTGGCATTAGACGGGCCGTACCTCCCCTTCCTCGTAGGTCGTATCCCCCTCATCCCCCTCCCCTTCCTCGTACTGCCCCTCATCCCCTTCTTTGTATTCTCCTTTATCCCCCTCCTCTCCCTGTGATTCCCTAGACATTTTGTCAGGGCCCTGGAGTCAGCTCACAACTTCACCGCACGATAGAGCCACCAGCCAGGCAAAGTACAGAACAATAATGATTGATGATAATGATTGATGATCTTCCTAATAGGTGCATTGTGAGCGCCGGAAGGTGCTTCCGCGGCCACCTATAACTAACCATCGCAACCAGTAATGACTGGCTCAGCAGTGATTTGCCACACACTAAAACAACAAATCTCATATGCCTAGCCCCTTATTCCACAACAGCTAGCGCGGAACAAAGACACGGCGTTAAGGTTTGCTTGGGCACAATGTGCACGAGGTACCGGTAATAAGTATGACGACCGCACCTATTTGCAGGCCGAGTACAATTGATACTGTTATATAACGTTATAACATGTTACATGTTATATTCATTTTGACGTACCGGTACCAAGTCAATTACGCGCATTAGGGGCCATTCACATATGAGTGATTTTGGGATTGAGTGCGTAGGAGCGCGTAGGGGAAAATTGTTCACATTGTAATTTTTAATTACGTTTGGCCTGGAATTATTTTTAACAACGCCTGAGTTCAAAAAATAATTCCACAGGTGAAACATGAGTGAATCATGAGTGAAGTTGCGTGAAGTGAGTGAAGAAACTCTTGAGTAGACGCCCCCTGCCAACTAGCATCCCTATGCCAAGCGCATACTTTGGTTGCTTTCCTAGACTTCGCGACTGCATATTTTTGTTCTCGATCTACTACTTTCGCATAGAAAGCTTTGCGCGGCCTCGCGCGGTGCGAGTTTGACGAATTTGCTAACATTGGTTGCGACAAGCAACTACCGCGTGCGCATGGCTGCGGAGACCTGCGAAGAGATCATCTTGGCAGGTCTACGCAGCCGCTAGATTCCTGCCTTGCTGCCCATGTTCGGTCGCGGTCGCGGCATTTCGACTCTCATTGTACGCCCGACCAATGTGAACGCAAATTGAGTTTTCCCACTCATTCACGCACCCTCACTCAAAAGTACCTCCTTCATATATGAATGGCCCCTTAGCGCCTGTCGGCCTGTGCACGCATAATAATGCGACCTACGGCGACACATAGGCCCGCTCTCGGCTGTTGTCGACCCCACGGACCCTGTGGACCCCGCGTCTGCTGTCCTCGTGTCGCCTTCTCGCCGCCTGCTCGACACCACTTCCTCGCCCAGCAGCGAGTTGGCGGACCTGGTGAATGCAGTGGAGGCGTTCAAGGCTGCCGTGGCGGACCCCGCGGCTGCCACCAAGCTGGGACCCCACCCTTGCCCAGGCTGTGTCGCAGTCCTTGTCCAACGCCGGTCTTACCGTCGTGGACTCTACCCAGCCAACTTCTGAATCCAAGTCGACAGACAGCCCACCGCCACCGCCTTCACCCCTTGGCCAGACAGCCTCACCACCACCAACGCCGCCTCCCGGGGAGCAGTTTAGCACTCAGTCACCATCACCGGCAGCTCCACGAGGCAGTGATGATGGTTCACATGCCTCCCTGTCGCCGCCGTTCCCACCACCTCAGAGGCCGTCTTCAGGAGGAGGTCTCCTGAGTGTCCCCGGGTCTGTTGCTGGTGCGGTAATTGCCTGCGTGGTTGCAGGGGTGGTGGTTGCAGCTGCCGTGGTCGTTGTTAGGCGCCGTGCAGCCAAGCGAGCTCGACCTGAGTCTCCGCACGAGGAACATCGTACGCCATCAAACGTTGTGCTCCCGCATGCAAGCCATGGCAGCGCCAGTGGCAGTGTGCGCGAGGCCTTCGTTGGCACCAGCCCTACTGGCTCGGTCAACCAAGTAAACCTCTCCGGCTGGGTGCCCACAGATCGCAAGCAGGTGTTCCAGGCCCCACCTCAGAGGCCGAGGGTGAATGGTGCCATACCATTGACTTCCCGGGCAGTCCTCGCTCCGGATCCCTGGCCGCCGGTGCCCATGCACCCAACCCCTTTGAGGTCATCCTCTCACAGCCTCAGGCGTCCAATGCCCCAACAAAGGCCCCAGCTGATTTAGCACGCAGCAACAGTTTGTTGGAGGGCCACGTGCCTAACCCACAACACACTGCAGCCTTGGCACCTGGCACGGCTGCAAACGTGGCCGCTTTGGGTGCAAGCGTTGCACCTGCGCCTGGCTTACCGCAGCAGCTGAATCGTCAGCCCTCACCGGCTAACCGCTCTACTATGAGGCTGCCTGGCGGCGCACGGTCGTTTGATGCGACCCCCACGCTCCTGCTCAGTGAGGTCGCTGCCTCAATCCTGGCGGCTGGCGGTGCCACAGAAGGGTTCAACGGCGCTGTTCCGGCAACGGAGAACTGCCAGGAGGCTCAGGCTACCACGCCGGCGGCACGCTCGCCTGAAGATCTGCACGGCAATGACGATCGTGGTGTGTTAAAATAACTGGCCGTGAGGCGAAACGTACTGTGATCGTGGTGTGTAAACGTACAACAGCGGTTTGGCCATTGAACGGCAGGCAGCATGGGGCACCCGCCCTTTCCAGCGCTTTTTATTCATGATGTTAATTTGCTAGATTGCTAAAAAGACTGATATTGCTTGCCATGGTTAAGGTGGCGCATTGCGGGTGGTTAAATGGCTTTTTGGCATGTAGGAGTGGATGCAACTGCGTAGTACGGATTCCTTTCACGGTGACACCCTAAAATTGTCTGGACAGCGTTATGCCTTTGTGTATTGTGAACATTCATGCGCTTTGCTTGTACTGCTGTGCTTGCGTAGTCCAAGCGTTTGCCCTAATCGATGAACATGTGGAACGTGATTAGCGAAAGTTTCTTTTTGCAATATGGGTAGAATGTGTAGAAGTAAAACAGATTTGTTACCCAAAGGCCGTGTGCTCCCTGTTTGTCGGGGAGAATGTCAAGCAATGACTCCTTCCAGTGCTACCTGATAATGCGCTCTCCATGCTATGTCTGATGCCCTTTGATGCATTTAGAGTTGCAAAAGCACTTCCCGACCATTTGCTGTTGGCTATTATTGTTCAAAACTTGTCACAGGACTTCAGTGCTGCCCTGTTAATATAGGATTGTCATGGGTCGCAGCACATTTGGTTGTTGCATGCGTAACATGTAGCCTAGATAGTTTACATGCCGTACATCACATGTGTTGGTGTATGGAACTGCTCTACTAGATCCACGGCGACTTTTGTACTGGCTCTTGTGGGGTCTGTCCTAACGACAGTAGCGCTTTTTAGGACATCTTCATTCACTTATTCTCCCATTGTGCCCAAAAGGTGAGCAATCCTTAATGTCCTACGGGAATCATTACAGACTATTGGGGTTATGTTGCCTATGCTATCTGGTACTTGTGTTGGCCTTATGCAATAAGGTGGCGTGGCTTCAGCATGCTGTGCTGCAGTCCATTTCGCTTTGTCTATGCCACTCTATGGAGAACTTGTATTACCGAACGACTTCCAATACTGTAACGCCTTTACACGGGAGGTTTTTTTCGTAATAGCGCGGCCAATTTACACGTGTCCATAGCACCCAGTGCCAATGCTGTCCGCCACCTAAAGCTGCTAGGTTGGTTAGCACGCGAAATGGCAGGCAGCAGCGTTTTTTTTTCGTTTTCGAGGGGGTATTTTTTATCGCTGCTCGAGCGATAGAAATCGGGCCTGGGCAACCGCTTATCGCTTTCCC